AGGTTTGCTTCCTTGCATTTGTTTACTACCTCTTCCCATGTAACATGGCAGCAATTTCTTCCACGTAAATTTGTTTTCTTCTGGACTTTCACTTAGCTTTAGTTGTGAATAATCCAAACCCTGAAGAATTCTTGGTAGTGGAAAGATTGAAGTCTTTTGATGAGCAGCAGTGCCTGCATTTTCAGATCAGTAGCATATAAATTTTAACTTAAACACTGAACAGTTCTTGTATGAGGGACACAATGTCATGCAGCTCCTAGTTGTATAGCTGCCACCTTCTACATTTCAAAGCATTAAAATCCAAATCTAGTCACTCTTCTGGGTCCTGTAGTGTAGCATGAATCATGTTGGTTCAGCTTTTTCATGGAATAAGGTAAGGAAATTAATAGGGAAAGGCAAATGCTTAATGATAAAAATAGGATAATTAATGGCAAGATGCAGTGGTGGACGGTTTGTGGCACTTGATGTTCTCTCTTCCAATAGCAGTGCAGATTTCTGTGCAAGGTGTTGGTGTGGATGTCTGCATACCCTGCTGCTCGCTTCCAAAGGCACATTTACTGGCTCAGGTGACAATATGCTCAAGTCCTACTGGATGTGTCATTAGGCATACCGTGCCTGCAGCCAAAACTCTTCAGCTGCTCCGTTTGATGCAAGCTCTATAGAACTTACTGGTCATTTTCTTGTTCTTCACTTCCATTATGCAGCTGGTGTGAGGAGGAGGTGGTTTATGAAGGGAATGTTGGATATAGTGCAAGTGCTTTTTCTGCCATACAGCTTTGGCGCAGGGATTTTACTGCTGTCCGTGCACAATACCCACCCCAGCACTGATCCAGTTCCTGTGGTCTGTGAGTTTTTAGTTACCTTTGCTGCTCCATGCCTACCACTGGCACTTAGCTCCTTCACAGTGGTTTATAGAAGTGATGACACTCACAAGAAAGATGGTGATGCTCTTTATTTGCAGGGATTTTTATCCCTCTGTGGGCTGCTTTGGAAGGAGACTTCACAGCTAGCACGTTTTGTCATCCGTTGCTGCGAGACAGTCATCCCTGTGGGTCAGGAATCTCGTGGTTTTAACTGTTTTAAGGACAGGACAGGTAGCTCTCTGCAGGTTCCTCTTGAGGACCAGCTCAAGCCTTCTAGGTAATGAGCATCACATAGCCTTTCTTCTTCAGGCTGATACAGAGACTACAAAAGCTCTTCGGCCCTCACTGTCCAGCAGCAGCTTGGAGACCCAACAGAGAATTCCAGACTAGGGAATCTAGGGAATTCTTCTTCAAGAGTTTGATGCTGTCTTATCCCGCTAACGGTTGTAGCATCTTCAGAGAGTCTGAGAGAGGAAAGACCTCAAAGATGCAGGGAGCCTGGTGCCATGGCCAAGCTGTCACTTTTATCTCTGCTTATCAAACCCTCTTAACTTCATAATGAACAAAATATTAAGCCCTCTCTACCCTGATGACGTAAGTTTGTTTGCTTCTGCCTTTCCTCTGCTGCAGTCAGGAGGGTTTTTCTTTTTTCTCTTTGAAGAAAGCACGCAAAGAGCAAGGGTTTGGATTTTCATTGCCCCTGGTGTAAATGCCTAATGCTTCAGGAGAAATGTCTATGTATGTAACAAATGTGTATGTTCCTTTTTCTTTTTTTCTGCCCCATTTGTCCTGCAGGAAAATTGTGTGTTCAGAGGGAACAGAAACTCCTTGGTTTATGGGATTAAGATAAACCCACTTACTCTGCAATAACATTCACAAGGATAAAAATGCAATCTCTAGCCAAGGAGCTGAACACAGTGTACATTATCAAACAGGAAAAAAAACCCTGTTCCTAGTAGATTATCCACACTTCCAATGTATAGTTAATGTTCCAACTGTTAATCCAGATGAATTGCATCTTTTTTTACTGTACCAGTGAACATATTCTGGCATGGTCAAGGCTTGGCTATACCTCTCCATCTTGGACTGTTTTCTATGTGTACTTTTCTCTCTGAATGCCTTTTTTATCCATTTATGCATTTCTTCAGCTGCCAAATGGCTCTCCTGCTGTGGCAGATGCTTTGGCTTCGTGCTTGGTCTTTATCCCTTGCATGTCCAGATTTTGTTGATTATACAGCATTTGTCAGCTACTTGCTGCTCTTGCTCTAGTGAGCTGTTAGGAGAGTGTGAGAAACCTTTTTTTATGTGTGTGAACCAAGGAGATAGTGTTCTGCAACATCTTGCTTTTAATGGTGAAACCCAACTTTAAAGGCAGTTGTCTTAGAGACTTCGAGGGGATCTGTAGAAAATAGTGTAGTGGGTGTTGCATATATTGGTGTTAGATTTGGTGCCATAAATATGCAAATAAACCAAAGGGCTCTTCATTATTGACTCCCTGGTGCTTGTAACGGTCCATAAACCACAGTGATTTCTTCCTCGCCCCTCATACATGCATGTCTACCTACTTGGCTTTTACACAGCTTATTAAGATATCTCCTGGAAGGAGGTTGCAGAAGAAGGCTTTTACTAACTGCAATATTCAGTAACAACCAGAAATTTCCTATAGCCAGAAGCTTTAATGTGGTTGCCAGTATTACATTAAACGTGTTCCTTTTCAGAGGGTCCTCCAGGTTGCCCACCCACTCAGCCGTATTCAGTCATCTACAATAATGTTATTTCTCTATACGTCCACATCTGTTTTCACTCCGTTGCCAATTGCAATGCTGCTGCATATTCTCTGTGTATTGTGGCGACTTTCCCAGCGGATTGAAAATTTACGCAGTGTAAGGGGATTTTACAAGTTCTCGAAAAACATGCAGTATTTTCCCACAGTAGCCACACCGTAGAGCGCCCAACTGAAATGACATCTCCTCACAGAGCGAAAATGTGCACCTGCATGTGACTTGCAGCTTTATAGTGCCTTCACGTAGACACGCATGATACTTTAATGGCTTTTATTTGAAGCCAGCATTTTCTTATGGGGAGCTTGTTAAGTAGCTTCCTATAGTGAACTTCTGAGAATTGAGCCAGCCAGTGTCCCAAATGTCTGCTGAGCGTACTTTTACTGGCTGCTGTTTTGTTTGGGAAACTGTTACAAGCCAAACTTGTGATTTGTGGTGTTCTTAACATGTTCTGTAGGTATGGATAATCACTGTTGCAGGAAGCTGAAGCGTGAAAGTGCTCAAAGGGTATTTGAGCACTCGGCACCTCGAGTAATCCAGCGTGTGTTATGTACAACTGCTTGTTTCAGACCTTTCCAAGAACGTTGCTTTAGGGAAAACTCTCCCTTAAGACTTCTTAGATTTGAATATGTGAATGTATATGGTTTCTAAAACTATTTAAATTTGCTAACTCAAATCTGTGATGCTTCATCTCCTGTGTCTTCAGTGTCAGTATTGCATTTTCAAATATCTTGCCTTCACATCTGTAATTATATTGGTCCATGCTGTCAATGTCTGCAGTCCTCTCCTGCCTCTGAGGGTCACCTCTGGAGCAACAAAGGAGTTAAAGGGTTGCAGTTCTGCCTTCCTAGCACAGATGATAAATCTTCAGATAAAGCTTGAGAATTGCCTGTCCTTCCTCCTCAAACCTCCACCCCATGCTGAGCAGTCTGCCACCTTCAAGGCAGGAGTCCAGGGCTGAACCAGCACAGTGTCAGGTTTGAAGCCCGGTCCCAGGCTGGCAATCAGCACTGCACTAGCTGGCCAGAAAAGCTGATCCCAAACTGCCACATGACTTGCTGTCTTAATTTCATTAGTTTCCCCACCAAATGGGAAGAGAACGAGAGGGCATGGATAACTCGTTAGCATGCTTCTCTAGAAGCATCTCTCAGTACTTGTGATGCAGACAAATCCCTGTGGCACGTCAGGTTTGTATTATGACCATGTATGATTCTCTCCAAGTTGCATAATGAGAGACAATTGAAGGAGCAAATGCGTGGAAAACAAAGCGGTAGGTTAGTTTTCTCTTGGAGCAGATATGTTTTCCTAGAATTGGATCATCATAGTCACACTGCACTTTTTAATAAATATCTCAGTTGTTTTCCAGTCTCGGAGGAGCTGCGGAGGTGCCTGCTATTGCTTTGAGAGTTAGGATTTGGTTATAAATATGCTTTTCCAAACAAACTGGCAGTCGATCAGCTTCTTCCAGGTTTCCATGTAGCATTTGCAGGGAAACCCTGGGAAATAGCTAAAGAAACGGCCTGTCCTGGTGCCCATACTGGAAGACGGGAAGCATCCCAGCCTGCCTGGGACCTGCAGGTGTTGGCCTGGAGTTCCGTGCACGGATATGACTGTTGTTGCGAACTCCCTGTTCAAAGTCCCACAGTTCTTCGAAACTGTCTTGGAAGTAATAAAGCTGATGAAAACATGGAAATCATCCTGGTGCTTGAATTAAAACGTTGAGAATTTCCATGCTTCCACAGATTTTAAGGAGGAGGGGGCAGGGAATAAGTTTGGATTATTGAAATCTTGTAGTCCCTGTTCAGTTTTACTTTTATCAGGCTTTAAGGTGTTTAGAGGAAACTTTGGTATTTCAAAATCCCTTTCTAAGATGTGCACCAACAGTTAATAAGTCAAATAACTGGGTAGGGGAAGGAGAGGTCCAAGAAATCCCATAACCTCCCTGTCGGGCTCAGCGTTTCTGTGATGTTGCTCAGGTGAGGCTGAACATGGCACCATGTGAGCTCCTGGTTTCATCTTCTGTCAAATGGTCGTGTCAATATAGGGAGGAACCGAGTTGTTATGAAATGTATCTCTCTAATGACTGCTTTGGAGATTCTCATGAAGGTTAGTTGAGCATAATTTTCACCACCAAACCCAGCTTTTTGGCATGACAAATTATAAAAGTCCTAATTCTCAGTCATTGTGTTTTGTGTGTTTTTATTAGAGGGCAAGAAAAGATACATTCAAGTTGTATATGCTTCAGTTTTAAGGATGACTTTTGTAAAAATGGACAGATTGGTGGGTCTGTGTTGGAGCAGCCGTGCTCAAGCGTGCAGCCTCGTGCCTAACCCCTGGTTGTTTCCCCTCTTGTTAGACGATAGAATCGAACTGGCGATGTGGGCGACATAATTTGCAAAGGATTCAGTGCCGCTCTGAAAACAGCAAAGGTGTCTACTGTTTACAGTACGACGATGAAAAGATTATCAGTGGCCTACGAGATAACTCCATTAAGGTAAGTGCTTTTTTCAGTCCTTCTCCTAGAGATAAGTGGGTGCTTCTGCCTTGGAAAGCTCCCTGCTTGTGTTTCCTTGATTTCTTTTGTCTCTTCGTGAGGCTGTATTTTCCTGTGCAGCATTTATGAGGATGGGATGTCTTCCGTAGGCTGGCAAAGTTCTCATCTGCACTTTGCTCTGGAAACTTTGGAGACTGCCAGCCAGGGAGCAGTACTGTATCCCACAAAGAAACGCTTGTGAGATCAGAATTCACACAACCCGAAGGAAGATGCGTGTGCCACTGTGCTTAGCTGTGTCTGTTGTCGTTGCTAGTAGGTTGCTTTCATGCTGATCCTCCATGGTGTTTCCTTTTGCAAAACAGGCTTTTGTCTTTTCATGATCATTGTTTTTTTTTTTCACTGTTCTGTCAAAAACTTGCATCAAGACTTCCTTAAGCTAAAAGGGAGGACAGGCCCACTGACTGGACAGGCTTAACCACCCATGGATTCTCCTGCTACCTCTAGTTTTCTTCCTTCCTTCGCAGTTGTGGCAATGTTCAAGTCTTGGATCCATGTTCTTGATAAGCCATTTATACTTCTTGTTTTCAACAGATTTGGGACAAAACAAGCTTGGAATGTTTGAAAGTATTAACAGGACATACTGGCTCAGTTCTCTGTCTGCAGTATGATGAAAGAGTCATTGTAACTGGATCTTCAGACTCTACAGTGAGGTTAGTGTGAAGTTTTTGCACAAAAATAATTGGAATATCAGGGCTGGGAGTATTTACAATAATCTCTAAATATCAGAAATCATCCCTGATACAAATGTGGTGATGTTATTCCAAACCCAAGATATTCACACTTGGCAAAGCATCACATTCAATATTTTTTTTTTTCAAATCTGTCTCATTTTTTTAGGGTTAAGAATTTTGAAGGAATATGACCTGACTGATTCAAGGCATATCCTGAGTTGTAGAATGGCTGATGGCCAACTATACAATAATTTCTTCATTTAAGGGTTTCTTGTACTGCCTTCTGACATCTCTTATGACTATTAATGAAAGGGTATTTGGTGTATATGGAGCACTTGTCTGACTGTAATTTTGATGATACTCAGTTTAAATTATTGTATGAATTCAGTGGTCATTAGATGCCCAATATAAAGACGCTCAGGTACAGTTGAAAGAGGCTTGTCTCCTCCTGGTGCCTTACGTCAATACACCAATGTCAATCTCGATAAAACCTTTCAAAAATTAAGACCTGATCTTAACAGCCTTCAGGTACTATAAGTTCAGTAGTGATTTTTCACTTCATGTAAGCTGGTAAGAAGCCCTGGAGGGTGCTACATCCCAATTGCTCCTGGCATTTGCGAAATCTGAATGAATGGTGTAAAACTGAAAAAAGAAACCAAACCCACCATATTGGATAGTATTTGTTTTGGTCTGTTCCATCAATTTATACATCATACAAGCTTTAGTCATTCTGGAAGAGTCGTAGAATTGTTAAGCAGCTCGTTCCCTTAACATTGGTCTCAGCTTAGGCGTTTCCTGGCCTAATTGTTTGCTGCTGTTAATTGTTGGTTGTGAGTCTGAGACGTGAACTAGGATACTTCCCCAGCACCCATCTTCCTGCCTTCCCCAAGCCCTAAGAGATGTTAAACAACCAGAGTGCTCTCCACTAGAGTGTATAGCAGACTTGTGCATGTCTTTATACCATGCATAGCCATCATCTTTCCTTTGGAATAAAATTCTTTTCTTCTGCAGAGTCTGGGATGTAAATACAGGTGAAGTTCTGAACACGTTGATCCATCACAATGAGGCAGTGCTTCATTTGAGGTTCAGTAACGGCTTAATGGTGACCTGCTCAAAGGACAGATCGATTGCTGTTTGGGATATGGCATCACCCACTGACATCACCCTGCGCCGTGTCTTAGTTGGCCATCGTGCTGCCGTTAACGTGGTAGACTTCGATGACAAGTATATTGTGTCGGCGTCGGGTGACAGGACCATTAAAGTAAGTTGGCAGAGCTCTCATCTGGGTCTGCTTGCCTGCCAGGCCAGAAAAGCTGCTGAGGGGTGTTCAGCTCTGGGTAGCCGAGGTGTTCATAAGCACTTCTGGGCCTCTTTCTGTACCCATGAGCAAGCTGCTTCCTCTTGCTAGCTGTTCAAGTCTTTATGCGCGTAACTAAGCTCATAACATTTTTGTGGCTTCTGTCGTACAGTTGCAAAAAACGTAAAGCCCATTCGCCGTTTGAACTCTCCTCTCAAGATGGGTTGGTTTGTTAAATGTGGCGCGTTTTGTGCCTGTTTCCAAGCGGTATTTTTTGTTCCAATTGGCAGTCCTGTTCCAGACATGAAATTTAGCAACAGTTGCCTTTCCTCACCACACCTTCCCAGCAGCTCAACCAGACTTTGCCATGTTTGAAGAATTAAGAGGCTGTATTTGAAGACTATTCCATACCAGAAGATTTGAGTTACCCAGAGCGTATGAATACAACAAAGGCGTTTCCACCCTTCCCTCTCTAGAGCCAGAGCTACCTCAGGCAGTGCCAAAAAGCTCTTGGCAGCCTGATGTCCAAGTATCTGCCAGAGATCCTGCTGCACTCTGCGTTGGAAAATGAACCGCTGGATACTCAATGTTACAATTTCAATTATAGTTCGTTAAAAATGCGCAAAGTTGATTGAATCATTTAATTTGAAGAAAGAAGCATCCACCAAACTAGTAGCTTGCTAGCAATTTCTTCGGTAAAAATACGTGGTGGTTTTGTGTATGTGATAACTGTCGCTTTCAAAAATTATTACTAATGTAGCAAGATGCAAGTGTAATCAAGTTTTTGAAACCATTTGGGGCTGTCTCTACCACCTGAAAATATTTTGTGTACAACCCCCCCAGCTTTTCTCATGGACCTGATGTGCAATAGCAGTGCCCGTGGCTCTTGCCACTGCCAGGTCCCCGTAGTGCCAGTCTTCATGAGTGCCGGGTGCCCACTCTTTGCCCATAAAAATGCTACGCGAGTTTTCATTCCGCTGTCCAGCAAAGGTCAGCCTCAGACTCTTCCATTAGTGAATTTGTAACAGCTTCTATTGAAATTCAAAAACCTTATTGGGGCGTAATTCTCAGAGGAGCGTTTGTTTTGTGTCTCACAGGTCTGGAGTACGAGCACGTGCGAGTTCGTCCGTACTCTGAACGGGCACAAGCGTGGCATCGCGTGCCTCCAGTACAGGGATCGACTAGTTGTCAGCGGGTCTTCGGACAACACCATTAGGTAGGTGCCCATGGGTGTTAGCTAATGGTGTCCGTTTGCACGTGTGGACGTAGGATTTCCCCTGCCCTCTGGTGCTGTCCTGCACTGCTGCACATGCAGAACTTCCTCAGTGTGTCTTGCTCTTGGAGCAGGTGAGGTATGAAGGGAACTTAAGTCATGGGAGAGTAAACATATCACATCCCTGCGAAAAAGTTTATGTCAAAGGAAAAATTAACCTTATCTATTGCTATTGTTTACCACCTTGTCATCTTGGAGAGATGAGGAAGATGTTGGTCACTGGTTTGGTGAATTACTTTCTGATCATTGGTTTATACAAATAGAAAAAAGTGTCTGAAAGTTTCCCAAGATAACTTAACACACATCCAACCTTTACTTGTGTACAACTGTGAATGACTAAATTAATTTCGATATACTGCAGCTGCAGCACAAACTTATCTGTGAATTGCACGCAAGGAACGTGTCGTGGTTCTCATGCCTTTTTTTAAGCAAATTACGTGATACCTCCCACAAAAAAAAACGTTCAGCAGCTTAAATCGCTGCGTGTGAGGCTGAGGGACAGTGCTGAACCTGAGGCACCGGAAAACTTTCTCCTCTGTTCTCTTAAGGCTATGGGACATCGAATGCGGTGCCTGCTTAAGAGTATTAGAAGGCCACGAAGAACTGGTTCGATGCATCAGGTTTGACAATAAGAGGATTGTTAGTGGAGCCTATGATGGGTACGTTTTTAAAAGCAATTTCAAAATCTTTTGCCTTTCTTAGCAAAGCATCTTCTGAAAGCTGTTGAGCCTGGTGTAAGGGTTCTCTAATGGATCGATATTAAACTGCTTGAGTGTTTCAACACAGAAGGCTGCAGTTTTAAGGAGCCCAGAAACTGCTTTCCTGGTGCTCTTGAGCACACTCCTAATTTGTGTTATCACTCAAGTTTGACTTTCTATGGAAAGTAAACTTTTGTTTGGCTGAAGTGACGTTCCTTTGTTTCTTCCCTCAAGAATTGCTCCTTGTCAGGTCCTGTGCGCTTAGAGTAGCTTAGGCTTTCTATTTTTGTAAGACAGAAGTACTGGAAATGTTTATTCAGAACATAAATGTATCGTGTACATACCTAGTTTTAGTGTGTCGTGGATTCAGGACAGCTTAGGGTCCAATTTCTCCCATTTCTTCCTCTGCCTCATTTATACTTGAAGTGAACAGTAGAGTTACAGAAAACAATTCTCAAATTGTGTTTGTCCTCTAGCCTTTTATTTGGGTTTAGTGTCTCACTGGGGTTGGCGATCCCAGCTTAACTCCCACTGGAACTTTGCGCCTCCTCAGTAGTGCTGTGAGCTTTGGAGATCTTCTGCAGTTCCAGAATGGCTTGTGCACACATGGTCAATGTGTCTTTCACATAACCAACCCACTTGGTCCATCACAAAGACATCCCTCTATTTGCTGCTAAAAAGATATGCAGAACTGTCTGTTTTATGAGATTTAGTATTTTAGTAAAGATATATCCTAACGTTTTGCTTGATCCTGATGAACTAGCTGTAAAAAAAAGCACACTTTCCATTGCTTTAGATGTTTGTTCTATGCTTATACTTGAAACAACGCTTTCATAATGATCTTATTTTACTTTACAGCAAAATTAAAGTTTGGGACTTGCAAGCTGCTCTTGACCCTCGTGCCCCAGCAAGTACATTGTGCTTGCGTACGTTAGTGGTATGTAAAATTAATTCATTTGGGGTTATCTGAAATCTTTTATTTGTAAGTGAGAGGCATTTTAGTACATTATAGTGGGGTAGGGAGGAACTCGGGATGTTTTATAAAGCCTAGCCTGTTTCTTATTCTAAGGATAAAGAAAATTTATATGTTGTTATATCCTGGATGATTTGGATCTGAGCTTAAAAGAAAGATCAAGTTTTTCTAGTTTGAGATTCTCAGATACTCTTTAAAAAAAAAAAAATCAACCTGATACTGTATCAAATCATTCTAGTTATTGGTGTTTCTCTAATATCATCGTAGGGCTGGCTTTAAATTTCCTCTTTCTAAAAAGTGAGGAGGAATCTTGTGAGCCTTTCCCAAGCCTTTCTCCTCACCTTTCCGTTTCAAAGGAAGAGATGTGAAAGAGGGAAGGGAGGTTGGGTTGAAGGGGTTACCACAGGGACTCTAATCACTGCAGAGGACTGTCGGATTTAAGGCTGTTGCTTAAGTTATAGTTTTCTTTGTAATGAGAGTTTTGGTTTATGACAGTAGATTTAATTAAAAATGGATTGGGGAAATGAAATCATTGTTCTGTTCGCTAAAATGTGCATGAAATTTTACTCCAGGACTCAGTTGGACAAGCTAGTACCAATCTGAAGTTCTTGACTGTATGTGATGGTAACTGGCTCGTTCAGCATGTGCTTGGCCTTCCCCACGCCTAAGGAAGTGCTCATGTGGCTAGAAATGCTGCTGATTTTTCTTCCTATTCAGTCGTGTTTGCACAGAGATGAGATTTAACTATTTTATTCCCTACGAATGAGGCGTGTTTAATTTTACTGAAAAAAGCTGATTCTTGCCTTTCTGTGGGCACAGTGTAGCTCAGGTTGGAGTTTGGAGATCTGACAGCTTCGCTTAGTTCTCTAATAAAGGCAGCCTACTCATTTTAAATTTATTAAAAATGAATGAGCAGGACAAAGAGGAAGACCTTTTCTGGGCCTCTTAGTGCCATTTTGAGATTTCTCGAAAGCGCTGACGGAGCAGGTGCTCCTCCAGCTCCCTTCCTTGTGTTGGAGCACGGCTGTCTGGAGCAGTAAGTGAGCCGTGATGCTCCACAGCTTCGGCTCCGGCCCACTGCTGAAAGATGTGGGGTTATTAGGGCGGTACAAAAGCGGAGTTAGCAGCAGTGCTGAAGGCAAACGTTGTGTAAGAGAAGGAGCCCTGGCAGGCTGGCAGTGCCAGCCGATCTTCGGAATTGCGGCTGGCCGGCACTGACGGGCTGCTTTTGGCTGTAATCATCTCGGCCTCCGTGGCTGGCACCTCCCGGGGCCGGCTCAGGGTTTACAAGCACTGGTTTTGCAAGCCATGTGTTTTGCTGGAAAAAAAAAAAAAAGCTTACATGCAAAATCAGCTTTTCTTAAACGTGTGAGTAAGTTATAACTAAAGATTTCTTAAGTAGCACATCAGAGTCTGAATACACCGTTTGGTGTCCAGATACACGTGGGAGTACAAATGCAACGAGACGTTACCCTCTTCTTGCCTTGCTAACTGATTTTTGTGTTGCTCACAGGAACATTCAGGACGTGTCTTTAGACTTCAGTTCGATGAATTTCAGATCATTAGTAGTTCCCATGACGATACAATTCTGATTTGGGATTTCTTAAACGTGCCACCCAGTGCCCAGAACGAGACCCGCTCTCCATCTAGAACATACACTTACATCTCCAGATAACAGTCTGCACTTTACTGCCCTCAGAAGGTAAGTCTCCTTCTTTTTATTGGATGTATTATAAATATCTGAAGTTATCACTCTGCCTGCAGGTTGGCTTAGTCAAAACAACAAGCTGATGTTTTCCTTAAGAAAATAAAACCTATTTATGCCAATTCTTTCAGTGTCTAGGCTTTGTATGGTCATGCTTCAGCTGAGGAAACTTGTCACGTTATCTTACCCCCTTCTGTAATCCCTCCTCTTTGTAATTGGATACTTCAGATATTTTATGGAAAGTTATTACTTATTCATGGCATTCTTGGAAATTGAGGAGTCTTGGTGTGTTGCACAGGTATTCCAGATATCCTGTGGGATCAGAGCCCTTTGGAGTTCTCCATGAGTCCGCTCACTGTGCGAAGCTTTGTACCGAGCGTTGTGATGCATCTGTAGTGAACTGGTGTGTGATCTTTGGACAAATGCTCGTTCTGTGATGACCACAAATAGTAGGGAAGGCTTTCAGAACTAAAAATTCCATCGTGGGAGGCAACACGACAGCTCAGAGCTGTCAAACGGTGCACGTGACCGTTGCTGGTCTCGTTTCCGTTTTCCTGCGAGTCAGCTTCGTTTAGTTCTCGGAGCACGGTGGGTAAAAGCTCCGCTGTAGGTCTTTGTTAGGACAGTGGATCCTTTTCCTTGTGTCATCTGTATTGCTGCCAACAATTGCGTTCAAACCATAAATAGCTGTGAGTGCTGGGGCTTGGAAGCACAGAAATGGCCGTACTGAAGCGGAGCCGTCACCCCGGTCTCCGGTGCCCTGTCTCTGCCAGTGCCGAGCTGGGATGCTTCCAAGGAAGTGGAGACACCACAGCGAGAGGAGTTAGGAGTAACATTGGCCCAACAGGAAGGATTTACTTTATTTGAAGTAGATAATGAATAGTTTGCTTAAATATTGTGGGGAAAGCTTTCCCTGCCTTCCTGTAAGCATGGATTTTCATTATCTGTCTATGTATTTATCCCTGCTGTGGCAATGGGATCCTCAGGGTTTTGCATTCCTTCCGTAGGAGCTCTGCTTCTACGCTGAGAAATGCCTTCCCTTGTGAAGACATGCTTTGCTTCTTTGAGATGCTGGTTCTTAAAAATTAGTTTTCTTTCACCTGTAAGCGTTCCTCAGGAAAGCGTGGGCTGCCTTTCCTGCTAGCTGAACTCCTGCTCGTTTTCAAAAAAGCCAAGATAATGTCCTCTCTGGATGTGACACTTGGATGTCTCAGCTCATTACGTTTCATGGAGGTTGAAGCAAAAAGCTGGCCGTTGCTAGACTGAGTTGCCTGTCTTTCAGAACCTGTAATTACTTAATCTAATTAGACCCATGGTTGAGGAAGAAGTCTTCTGCTACAGTGATGAGGTAGTGTGCAGAATCAGTGGTTGGTGGAACTTTCCCTTGAAACCACGTTTGGAGAACACTGCTGCAAGGGCAGTTTAGTAAAATTCATGGACTTCTGTATCTTGCCTGCAGTAGGACAACAGAAGTCTGACAAGGCTAAACTTAATGTTTGTGCAGGGTGGGGGATGTGACCAAAACACAAAACTTTCTGGGAGATAAATCCTGAAATGACCCAAAGAGCCAGGTCCTCCAGCGCTGCTTATGTGTGATTTCTGCTTCAAAATTACTGTGTTTGATCCAGGATGGCATACTTGCATCCTTGTTGGGGAAGCCTTGGTGCTATCACTGATGGGGATGTCCCTAGGGACTTTGTCCTGCTCCTTTTGAGATGGAGATAACTGCCATTGGCTTCTGTGCCACCTGGCTGAACTTCACCTGAGTGAACTTCTGCTGTGGAAACTCCAAGGCTTGGTGAAGTTGAATGGTTTTCCCTCTCTATGAAAACCTTTTTTCCTCCTTTCTGAGTAATTCTATTTTTTTTTCCTTTGCCTTTTCAGGCAGATGGAATAGGCTGCGTGAGAAGACGACAATAGTTTTAGGAACAATCTCCATCTGTCTTCCAGTTCATACACCAGTGCTTTCTTCTCTTAATTTATAATTTGAGATTGACAAATTCTTTTTTTGGTTTTGTTTTTTTTTAACAGAAAACCTACAGAAGTATATTGGGCAGACTTCTTTAATTAGTGTTGATTCATGGCAAAGCTATACATAGTGTGTCTTATGCATAAAAGAAATCAGGAGCTGAATAAAATTTTTATCAGTTCACTTGACCAGCAACCTTAGTGTCTTACTTTCCTCTCTTGCCACAATGTGGCCCACCAGACCCACTGTCCTTGAGATTTGTCAGGGAAATAGGAATTGCCTTTGGCAGCATGTTCTTCCGTCCAGATTCTGCACACTTGACAGTTTTGCACAGCTTTGTCTGACTTGTCCAGTGACGCACAACCGAAACCACGCAGACCTCCATATCCTGGGAGTTGTTGGTGTTGGTAATGACAGTCCCTTAATAATGATTTCCTGTAGAGGAGAGATGCTGTGATGTCACTTTTTGACAGGTTTGTCTGACTTCGGAATCCAAAAACCATAAATCCACATAAAATTATGGTCAAACAGCTAATATTTCATTATGACATTTAATGAAACAGTTTTATGTGCTTTCAGACATTCTAGTTTTCTGAATTTTGAAGCAGCCCCATACACTTTTTTTACAAGGCTTGCAATGTTATGCCTCTTCAAAGCGGATCATTTTTGACAGTCCTGGCAGTTGGCTGCGAGAGTTTTATTGCTTTCTGTTGAATTCCTGTTGTTTATTGTAACATGATAAAAATTGTTACCATATGATAGTCTAATATTCTTATATTAAGTACTAGGCCTTGGGATGGGGGAAGGGAAGTCAAGGGGAAGTGCCTAAAGATGTTTTAACCTTCCATGGGAATTTCATATCAGAAGAGGGTAGTTCTCCGTAGCCCATAAAAATGGTTTTGGGAAGTGGCAGGTAAAATCAAAATTCAGATTTAATTACACTAAGAACTTGCACTGGCTCTGAGCTACTAATGGGTCATGTGGCTGGAAAAGGTAACCGAAGTAGAAAACTACTTGAGTTTTTTTGTCTGTTTTCTGAAAAACTCATGCATTAAAGCAACTGAACTTGCATCCTGTGCAAAACTTGCTCCTCTGCAGCGTGGAGAAGAAAGGAGAACTTTCTCATGGTTGTAAGTAGGTCACTGTTCTAGCAAGTAGCGTTCAGCGTTTAGCGAGACCGGTGGTTCGCCTTTTAGTCCCCAAGAGGACTTTTGGTTCTTACTACACGTAAGAAAACTGCCAACCTCCAGGTGACCCCCGGGACTAGTGCCACTCAGAATCTTGCTTTTACTCCAACGGAATCCAGAGCATGTTCTGCAACGCAGACAGTGTCCTCTGGAGGTGCCTCTCTCCTCGAAGGAAGGACTTCTGGCACAGTGGGAAGTAATTAATGGCAAGCGTTGCCCTAACGTGTTGTCGAAGTGTTGATTCCTCACAGGTTTTTTTTGATGTCTCCAGATGTTGCTTTTTGATTTGCATCTTCTGGCAGTTCAGCTTGTCTTTTGTCTTTTTCAGGGTTTCACAGTCTTGAACTACTGGATTTTTGGCTACTACATGCCTGAAGATGTCGATTGACAGCTAAAGTCGGAATGGGTTCTAGATGCTGTGTAGATGCAAAGCAGCACAATTCTATATCTAAATTTCTTAATCTTTCCTGCTCTCAGTGGTCGTCTTTGAATTTACTGACTTCGAGTAGATGAATTTCAGAAGCCTGTCCTTCCCTGCAATGAGAAATCCAAAGCTTCATGTGTAAATTGTCCATAGAAACTGACCTCCGATGGCTTGTTTTTCAGAAATAAACCAGAAGTCAAGAAAGGACTTGGCCTAATTTATATTGCTTTGCACTTTTGTCTGACTTTAAAGAAAAAAAACATTCTCCAGTGAAATTTGGGTGCCAAACACATACCCAGACTGTACAGAGCTTTGCTTTCCAAGTCACCGTTGTCCTTTAGACTTGACTCTCATGACAGATTCAGAGCCTGTTTTGTTTGATAGGAGTGTACGTTGGACTCTTAGAAATATTTCGGAATGGCTCAGTAATGTTTTTGGATTACCGTTTACTTGTTTCCGCACCAATAATTTCGTTTAAATTAAAGATTACCTGTAATCCAGGCTAGGTTATCTAAACTAGTTGCATAGCACTGTCTTTTTCCTTTTAACTGTGCTCCGTACTACAGCCGTCCTACGCTTCCTAATGTTTGGTATAGTAAAACCTTTCCATGTGTGCTTGCCTCATTCCCAATACTGTATAAGCATGTAGATATAATGTACATAACAGTGGAACCTCCGGGTGCTGGGAGTCAGGATTTCCTGGCACTACACACTAATACAAAACGTGGTAGCACTTGGCAGCAGGATGTTCTAACTACTGTCACTGTAGGGGTTAATGTGACTTACCTAGACGTTTTCTCTGCGAAAGGAGGTTTTCCGTATTCATTAGGATTTTTTTTTAATGGGAACTACATATTTTAAAATGTAATTTCTAAACTTTTTAAAAATTAAAAAAAACGTTTAATTTATGTTCTGTATCTTATATTTTTGTGCCGCAGTATTTACGGATGTCTTTCCTTTAGCACCAGTAGGTCCTCACAGACGCCTGCTGATGTCCTTCAGCATTAGTTTGGCTGCTCAGTGGAGAAGATGCCATGGGCCAAAGTTCAATTTATTTATGTCTGATTTGTAACACTTCCTTCCGGCGGGGTGGAGGTCCCCTCAAGTCGGAGCTCTGGTTACCACGCTGATTACCGTGCTAATTACCCTGCTGGTTTTCTTTTCCATAGCTACCAGCTGTGACCACGTCCCGATGTCTTGGTCGCGGTTCCTCTTCGTTAGCGTGCTTTTCATTAGGAATTCTCTGTAGTGTCTCCTTATGTTGTCATAGTCTCCCCTCTAATTTATGTGGTCGTGTAAATGCTACTGCGTTTTTCTTGTGTCAGAGGAAGACGCGGATAAACGCAAACACGAATGTTTTATCCGTGTTAGCCATGTGCGACCGTGCCTGTCGGTGGCTTTCCTCTCCTGCTCCGGTCAAGCTCAGCGTGGAATCCGCCTGTTTCCCTGGGGAAGGTGTGTGCTGGCACAGAAATGCATTGTCGTTCCTTTGTACGTCCATACGTGTAGTTCTGTCCTCCGGCAGCGCTTCCTCGGGTTTGCGTTTTCCCCTTTCACCATCAGGAGGGTTGGAGGATGTCTGGCTGCCGAGGGGTCGCTCCGGCGTCACCGGCAGGACGGCCGTGGTTGAACGCATCGGTTCTGCGTCGCGTGACGGCGGAGGAAGCGTCCGGCGGCGTTGCCCGCCCGCTCCCCACCACGATGGGAGGTTTTCTCCTCTCCACGTTGAGAGGGGCGTTGGGGTCTGTGTGTTAAGTTCAACTCCCGTTTGCGTGTTACTGCGACAATATTTATTTCATCGAGTTGGCCCGATGTGATGAAGTACGGAAGACTACAGACGCGCTCCTCAGCGTCCGTAAGATCACTTTTTGGTAAGCTTGACAGTAGTTCGTGAAAGTGTCTTACTTTACCCTTCTCATCTAATAGCTTTAATATTAAACTGTTGAAAAAGAAAAAGAATCTGTCGCAGCCCTGAAGAAAAAAAGTATTTGTTTCTGAAGAATGGAGTCTTTTTTTGTTTGTTTTTAAATGCATGTGTAAGATTTAAATTCCTGTTTTTCCTTGGGAGATAATGGTATTTGAACACGCCGTCTGAACTTCTTTGTGCTTTGTGTAACATAGCAGTGGACTCTCGTGACTGGCACCCGAGGAACTCGACTCCTGGGATTAATGGTAGTGATCCTGGCTGCACTCTGGACTTTGTTTTGCTAACCATAACTGAGCAACTGTACAGTACTGCTATATTAATGTTTCAAAGCACTGGGATAGTCTAATTCTAACTTGTAATTATGTTTGCCAATTATCTGTTGGGAAAGTTGGTGTATGAACAGCTTCTTGAAACTGTTAAATTGTACAGATATCGTTCATGACCTAAAGCTTTGTACTGTGGAATGTGCTTAATAAAAAAAAAAAGTTTGAACTTAATTGGTCAAATAAATCAGTAACATCGTCTGACTGAACGCCGGTATCGCGCAGGAGTTAATGGGAGCTCAGCACGCGCTGCTGGAGCTGGTGCTGGTGAGTGTTACCCTTCGGGCCATGGTGGGTGCTGGTGCCGGCGCTGCTGACCCAGTGGGTGCCTGTTCCAACCAACGTGAGGCACGTGGCTACTGGGCCAGAGCATCATGAATTCAAAGTGTGTCTGTGGTGGCCCCGCCACATGCCATTCTGAGATGGTTTTTCACCCCTCCGTTGGTTACGGCACGTGCTTGGGGAGGACGCAGGGAAAGCCAGAGCGGAGCTGGCTCACCTGTCCCGGGGGAACTTGGACTCCTCTGCTTTGCTGCAGCGCTCCTGTGTGTCAGCAGAAACATCACAAGAAGATTTTTTTTTCTTACTTTATTGAGAATGGAAATGGAATTTGTAAAATATTACCATTTCTTTGGCTGCTAAAGCAATCTGTGTTCATGCCCTGAGCCCTGTGCAGATAGAGGGTCTTCCAGTGCCAGCTGTGTCTCAACAAAAACTTTTCCCTGGGTTTTCTTCAGCCAATGTGCAGTGCCCAGTGAGAGTAAGTACTTCAGAATCCTGATATTTGCCTTTTATCCCCTGGTCTTCTCTCAGCAGCTGTATTTGTGAGTTAAGTTCACTTTTAAACCATTTGAGAAGCTGCTGTTGCGTGGTTCATGAGTCGCTCCAGTTCGTTTCCGGACGATGAGACCAGAAGCGATGGATCGTGCGGATCCTCAGCCGCTGCCTCGTGCCGTTAGCACGGGGGGACCAGCCGGGGTCTTGCTGGGTCCGGGTATGAGGGCAGCGGTGGGGAAACATCTTGTCAAATCCCTGTGCTTCAGCCTCTCTGCGGTGCTTGAGCCGACTTGGTGTGCCGACCACGGGGCTCACCAGCCTTTTTCCCTTGGAAGTGTTGTTTTTGGTAAGGTGTGCGTTGGACGCGCTGACCTGAAATGTTTTTAAAGGTGCTACAAACTCAGTGCTAAGGGTACGAACAAAGTTCTGGCCAAGTACGGGCAAATTCCGCCTTCCAAACGTGTCTCTAATGTATGTTTCTTTTTATTCTTGGCCCACTCTGACATTGGATAATAATTTTCAAAGGAATTTTGCTGTAGCGGCGCTTCAGCGAGAGGAAAGCGAGTAAAATATCTTATATTTTCTGCTGGAAGTGTGCTGTAGGAAGTGAAGCCTTCCTGACCTGTTCGAAGGGGCTGTGAATTGAAAACCGACATACAACCACGCCATAAAAGCTCTGCGATACATCTGCTAAAATCTGGAGTAGAAACTTTGAGGTCAAACTTTCAAAGTTCCACCTTACCTGGGTGGCCTTTGGTTTTGGTTGGTTTGTTGGGTTATTCCTTGTAGTTGTGGCCTACTTAATGGTCATCTGTTAATTCCCACCAGAGAACTTCACGGTGAAGTTGTGGAGGCACCTCACTGTCGGGTGCTCCCACCACCCTGGTGCAGTCTGGGGCCCCTTTGCACTCTCCCCCTCTCACCGAAGGCTGGGAGCGATGCACTGCCCTAGGCCTGACGTCACCGTGACATCACCTTGCTGCCCTGGGCGTGACGTCACCTTGCTGCCCCATGTGCGACGTCACCGTAGTGCCCTGAGCATGATGTCACCACAATGTCATCGCGCTGCCCTGGGTGTGATGTCGCTGCACTGCCCTGGGTGTGATGTCACCACACCATCACTGCGCTGCTCCAGGTGTGATGCCACTGAGCTGCCCCAGGTGCAACGTCACCGCAATGTCACTGCACTGGGCGTCATGTCACCATGATGTCACCATGACGTCACTGCGCGGCCTTGGGCCTGATGTCATGGTGCTGCTGTGAAACACCATGAGAGCACGTGAGCGAGGAGGGCAGATGTGAGGCCACGGAGTGTTCCCAGATGTTGCCAGGTCTGAGGTGGCCGTTGACTGCACGGCGGGTTGGGGTTGGTTCACCCTGCTTGTTGCTTTGCCGCGGTGCAGCAGCACGTGGCTTTGTGGTGTGGTGGGACCCGATGCTCTCGGGGGCCAGCGGACCCCGGGCTGCTGTTGGTCCTGACTGCTGACGCCGACATGGTGATGAGAAAGGGTTTGTGCGTAGAAGTGAGGCAATGGGGGTGCATTAGGTCCCTCAATGCCCTGTTTTGGTGGGGGGATGATGGTTTTATCAGCCAATCGAGTCACCATCCTGGTCTGTGCGTTGTGTCAGTTCATCTGGACAGCAGTGGGTCGCTGCTTGGGCACAGCTGTGGGCAGAGAGGATTGGCAAGAGGGTTGCCAACAGCAATCTTGCTGTTTGGCAAGAGGATTAGAGGGAAAAGTGCTCCACAGAGAACTACAAATCATGAGATTCTTTCAAAACTCATATCTGAAGGTACGCTGAAGCAGGCTGGGCTGTTGGACTTGAGATGTGACTCTCTGGCAAGGTTGTGTGTTGCTAGCTCTCCTGGCTCTGCTTATCCCACCGGAGTGCGGTTCTCCAGCCTCATCTGTCACCCTACAGAGGTGGCTGCCAGTCTGTCACTGCTGGGGTTGTCATAGAACAGTTTGGGTTGGAAGGGACTTCAAAGATCATCCAGTTCCAACCCCCCTGCCATGGGCAGGGACACCTTCCACTACACCAGGTTGCCCAAAGCCCCATCCAACCTGGCCTTGAACACTTCCAGGGATGGGGCATCTGCAGCTTCTCTGGGCAACCTATGCCAGTGCTTCACCACCCTTGGAGGGAAGAAAGATTGGTTGCTATGGCATGACTGGGCATGCAGGGAAGTTGCTCTTGGCTTTTCCATGGTGCCAGCCCTGCGAGGTCACGGCGGCACAGCGGATCTGCCACCTGTGGAAAGGCTCCTCTTCAATCCGACTGGGCGCAGCCTGGGCTGGCGGGTGGGAGCCGTGTTGATGAGTTTAGTTGGGTACAAATGCACTTCAGTCCGATCAGTCAATGGAAAGTGTGAGGAAAGGAGGCAGTGGGGGACAGAGCCGTGGGATGGGTGTTCAGGGCTCAGCTGGAGATGTTCAGGCTGATGTTACAAACTGTCCAGCCCGGGGTTTTCCCCTCTGCAGTGCAGAG